TATCTTGTAAAAGAAATCTATAAAGTCATCTCCTCACATCCTCACCCAAAACCCTTCAGTTTTCGTTAACTTCTCATTTATATTTCCGTAATTATAACTCAGACCCTTGATAATAGGGACATCTACCCCATTTTTCGTAAGATGCCACGAGAGTGAAAGAAACAGAGCACGCGGTCTAAGCAGACTGTATATGTAGTGGTGCGGAGAAAGAGGCAAGAGAAGAGGCAGCAGCCAAGCAAGCAGGATCGGATTTTTGTTTTTCAGTTCACGAATAGTGCTCAAGATTTTTCCAAGTTCAACAAAAAAACTTTTAAAGGTAAAAAAAGGATTTCCTACCGATTGGGCATAGTCTTAAGTTCGGGTTTTTTTTTTTTTTTTTTTTTTAATGAATGAAACTAGGTGAATTAGTTGGTTTTTACGCCTTACAGTGAATTACAAAAGATAAAACTAATGTTTTCAATTCATAAATTTCAAAATATAGTATTGAAATACTAGTACATAATTATTCTTTATAAACATACCGGAGAAAAATTTTCTGCAAAGTAAGTATATTTTGCGTAAATCAATGTTTTGATTGTACCATCTACGTTATAAGTGGAAATATAATGCTCAGGACGTTCTTTCAGAATGATAATAAATAAATAATTGGAAGAACAGCGTCTATAGATCTTCTTTATTCTTTACCAGGAAAGATTACCTTGAGCGTATACCTTAATGTCATTATTTATTTATTTATTTAAACGACTAATAATTATAGTTTTTCTTTACTTACTTAACAACATGGAATTTAATCCGTTGTGGAAAATTGATAGTAAATAATTATTTAGAAAATTTAAACAGCGATAACTAGCAAAATCGTCCGATTTTTTGCCAATATAGTTTATTTATAGTACTCTTCGTCATTATTTTACGTTGCACTAACCAATTTTTATCAATTACGCCCAGATTCAAATGCTGGATGTTATAAAAAAAATTTCGTATGTATTAACAAATTACTTGCGTGGCTCGATGATCACTAGCCGCTTGCACAACCTACGGTGTAGATATCAAAATAGGTTAAAAACAGCTGTAATTTCGCAAATTTTGAAAACCAACAGTTTTCAAATCTGACTGTTTTGTTCAATGTACTGTAACGAAATAACATTTTTACGACAAGGTGTACCACTACATACATGGTCTGCTTGGACCGCGTGCTCTGTCTCTTTCACTCTCGTGACATCTTACAAAATATACCTGTATTTATTTTTATTTCGAAATTTTTAGTGAGGTCAAAAAAAAGTAAAAAGACCTAATCGATAGCAAATTTTCCACTCTACGCGCTAGTATTTTTATTTTTATATAGTATGTTTCTTTTGTGAGAGGCATAATACTTAAACGCGTTTGGCGTGCTCGGCAATTTTCTGCTATCGAAAAAAATGATTCGAATTGTATTACATTTTGTATAAAAAATGATATTAAGTCTTTCTAAACACTTGCACTGTTTGCAGTGGCATACGATAAAACTATTCTGAGTTAAAAAAATGTTTGCAAGTGGTACAAATTCTTCCAAAAAAGGCCGAGAAGATGCCAACTATGAGCCTTGGTCTGGACACCCAATTACGTCAACAACAGATGAAAAAGTTCAAGCAGTGAAGAAAATTGTTTCAGAAAACTTTCGAATCAATCAGTTGGCTTATGCCATGAAATTTTTTTGAACGTTTTGGGCATGAGACATGTGTCAGCGAAGTTTGTTTCGAAACTGTTTAATTTTGACCTAAAGAACCGTCGCATGAGCATTGCTCATAAGGAGCTGTTGACAGACGTCAATGATGATCCTGATTTTCTCAAAAGGGTCATAACTGGTGACGAATTATGGCTATATGGTTATGATATCAAAACCAACGCCCAATCGTCCCCATGAAAGAGCTAAGGTGAGCCAACGTATCAAATGTCAAAGTTTTCCTCACGGTTTTCTTCGATTATTGTGGCACAGTGCATTATGAGTTCTTACTAAATGGTCGCACGTTGGTAGAGAGTATTATCTTGAAGTTATACGCCGCTTGCGAAGAGCAATACGAAAAAAACGTTCGGAATTGTAGAAAAACTATTCATGGCTTTTCTATCACGATAATGCCCCTGCTCACTAATATTTGCTTGTGAGAGATTTTTTGGCCAAAAACAACATGACAATCATGCCTCTGTCACCATATTCATTGGATTTGACCCTATGTGACTTATTGTTGTTCCCAAGCTGAAGAGACCTATGAAAAAATGGAGATTTGCGCAGGATTAAGGAGATAAAGACTGCATTGCTGGAAGAGCTTAAGGCTTTACCGGAAAGTGATTTTAAGAACTGCATCGAGGACTAGAAAAAGCGTTGGCACAAGTGTATTGTATCTGATGGGAATTACTTTTAAGAGAACAGCAAAATATTTATAAATAGATAAACATGTTTTCCTGAAAATTTCAAGTTACCTTACTTCTCGTACACACCTCGTATATTCAATTTTGTACACTATACAGTTACAAAGATTTGGTGGATGGCCAGGCGTCTACCCGTTTTCAAAAATATTTTTTTTATTACGGTACTTTATGTGATTTGGACATTATCCCCTCTTCAACTTTTCTGCCTCTTAGTTCACCAACATTTTTATCCAATCTTACATGCTTATAACTACTTTACTCGTTACTATTTTTAATTATAAGATATAATAGTTTACTTAAAATTATTTTAAAGAAATATTACAGTCAGATTTAGACTAAAGAAGCCCTTATAGTCAGGTTTCTAATTCAACAAAAAAATTGGGTATGATTGAGGTATGTTTACGCCTAAGATGTGAACGATATTCTTCTTACCAAAAGCACAAAGCGCGATTTTGAGCCCGTGGGACCTACTAAGAACACTTTATTATTTTATTTCATTATAATTAATGGGCCATTAACTATTTTGTGCATTAGGGTAAAATAATACTTTGTTCGACTTTGAGCTCAGAGTCATCGTAGGGCGCAAAAGCCTTTATGGCCATTTTTTTAACTTAGAAAGTTTACCGTACCCTTGGTGCAATTTATTTATATGGAGTTTAATTATTTCCCCCTCCACCAATTTTTAAGACCCTCTCACGTCCCTCGTATTATATTTTGTTCAAGGAACGTATATTAGAGTCAAAATAATTGTATCGTATTTATAAATGTATGCATAATTATGTATTTTTTTTTCTCCTACCCAAAGTAGAAAAAGAGATTGACTTTATTTAATTTTTTACAAAGTATGTTAAACTCAACAGATTAACATAATATGGAATAAATACTAAAAAATATTAATTGCACAATAACAGTTTAAGGATTTCCTCTATTCCTTTACCTCTTTCACCTTGTAATCACTTTAAAAAAATTTTTATTTATATGAGTCTAATGAATTATATGTTTGCTTTTAATTCTAAAATGATTCCGTTTAGTTATATAACGCTGTACATTTTATCTTTTTTTTACGCTGCCCTCGAGGAAAATAGATTCACTTAATACTTTTTATTTCAGAAGAAATTAATCACTATTTTTACATTTTTTAATGAGTCGTTTGAAAACTTATTTCTACAACTTTCATAACTATATAGTTCAACTATATAAGTCTTATGATTAAACTTTTTTGTTAGTATTAAGTTAAATCTAATGAAAAGTTATTAGATGATAAATACAATTACATAGCATGTGTGATTACACTTACAGATCTTAACTTGACATTGTAACAAAATAATAAGAACTGTGGTAGTCATCGTCAGTAGCCCTACGCATTCACGAATAGATGGATCCCTTCTATAACCAACATAAAAAAAAACTATTACTATTATATAAACACTATTATCGTTCTTTCAAGCGTACCCTGATCGGGAAGTTAGCAGGGCTCCCAAGTTAAAGTTAGTTAGCTGGGACTTATGTGAGTTGCCTAGATAGTACCAAGCTGGGATTGTAAGGGGACTCTGCGTGGGCTCTAACTAGGGCCACGAAAGTTGTCATCTACCTAGCTTTTCCTTATACACATTGAGAGTGGAGAGGTGTATTCATATTTGTTTGGGAGCAGCTGTGTATATTGCAGATTGCATGTGTGTGTTAAAAAATTAAAGCAGTGATAACTGTTTTTATAAATTATTGTGAACGAAGTATTACTCAAGTTAAATTGTTTTAATGAATTGTGATGGGTGATAAAGTAGAGCGTTTGTTGTTGTTTAAGTTAAAAAAAGTTCGTAAGCGTAGAATTTGGAAGCGTGGAATAATCAATGAAGTGCGGGCATTCACTGTTAGTTAGAATGCCAATGTTAGCCCCACATAATCCCCCATTACACTGCGCCATCTACCTCTATGTATTTTCCCTGGTTAAACTTACATAGGTAACTGGGTAACCAATGTAGGCCCAACATAAAGCTTTCTTAAGCTTTCTGATCGGGACCCGTTCGTCTCTCACATATACGTATTGAAAAACATTGCAAGTATTAATATTAAATTAATAAGTTCATTCGTTTTAAATTTTAAGAAATAAAAATATATAAAGAAAAAAATATGTAATAAACATGTCAATTTATATAACAGTTTCCCAATGCGTATAAAATGACATCCCACAAAAATCGGTATTGTTAAGGAAATGCATATAAAAATTTTATATAATATTGATTGGTCAAAATTCATAATATGTATATTATTTTCAAAAAATTTTTTTAACGAAACTAAATAATTATAAAATATTAATACATCATGTCATGTAGTGTTACGCTCTAATGTAGCATTTTTAAAATTTTTCACGTTATAAATTTTATTACAAATTATTGCTGATGTATAGAAGAACAATTTCATTTAATCAATTAATTCACTTGCACTAATACCTAGTTACACGCACGCACGCGCACACGCCCACACACACACACACAGATACACTTGAACAGGCAATAAATAATGTAGCATATCTAAGTTTGAAAACAGTATACGACTTATATGTAATTATGTACACTAATTTATTAAACTTTAAAATTTAGGTGGAGCTATTGGGTAGAGCCGGTACAGAAATTATTCTGCAGCTGTTGGGTGGAGCACATCGGCTGAACCCTAACAATGCGCACCAGTGGCCGACAGTGGTTGCCCTTTGCGGACCACATAGGTCTGGAGCAGCCGGCATCAATTGCGCGCGACAGCTCTCTAGTCACGGGGTCAAGACAGTGGTCTACGTCGAAAGTTCGGAAGATGTCTTTCTACTGCAAGAGCTCTCACTCTATCGGCATACGGGCCACAGAGTCGAAACAGAGATTATGAACTTGCCACCAGTAGCGGATCTTATAATTGTAGCGCTTTGTGAAGAGAAGTCTCCCAGAAGAGTAGCGCCCATAGCTAAGTGGGTCAGCAATAACAAGGCATCAGTTCTTGCTATCGAGCCACCTTCTTCTGGTACCCCTGGTATCGTTAGCAAATACTGTCTCGTTTCTGGGTTGCCCTTGGCCCATTGTCCTGAAAATGGTAGGCTATACTTGTGCAATCTTGCTTTGCCGGCTAAACTGTTTGCGGAAATAGGCATCACTTACCGTTCGCCCTTCGGCCCAAAATTCGTTATACCTCTGCACCTTAATAGTTCCTAGCCTAAATTTGTCTTAACATGATACTTATAAACAATGAACGGACTAACAAATTGATAAAACAAATATTATTTACGAATCAGTTAATTGACCGATCCAGTGCGAGTAATTTTTAATATTGTTACGATGTTACGTTAATCATCGATTTATCCCATCTTAAATTGAATTTGACTACCTGATTTCTCCCGAACAGAGAATAATTTTAGATTCTAATCCGAATCCAATCCGCGTTTTCTACCAAGGATCTGATTTTGATGTATATTTCGAATCCGAGTCGGATCACCGCATTCAACATCCGAAGATTGGATCTGAAGAGGTTTGATAGCAATATCTGATTTATGAAACGTGGTGTATCTAAAAAAAGATGTACAACAAAACTTGTATGCAAAATCACTGTTTAAATATACTGCTGGTATTTTTACAATTTTATTTTTTCTAAAACGAATACAAATTTTTATTTGAATATTTTATTTATTTCTTAGTACTATTTTGTGTGACAGGCTGAAGTTAAGACTCAACAGCTTTCATTTTTTTTCACAAAAAATCTGTTCAAGTATAAGGAAGTTTATAATTAAATAAAAGTCTTTAAAATGTTTTCTGTCCCACAGTCATCTGAAACGTCGTTATTATTATTTTTATAATTTTTTTTATTTTTTTTGCATTGTACTCTACAACATAATAAGTATTTTCATTATAATCATAGTCATAACCACATTTTTAGTATTTATACAATTAGTTTGACCAACAGTATCTTCCTTTTCTAAAAATTTTTTTGCTGTAGTTATTTCTTATTGAATTCGTTACAACTTATTTTTGCATTGAATTTACTTTTATTCAATACAATTATGATTAAACTGTTCACAGAAAAATGAATGCATCAAAGAGATTGAATAATGTGAAGCATTTTCACTCCAGGCAAGTAATTCTTATCCGAAATGGATCCAAAAGTACGCATACTGTGGATTCGAAACGGATCAGTATTACGGATTTGAACGCAGAATTACTTGACTTTTTTTATTTGGGCTTATGGCATTCAATAATTGTAATTATTTAACCCGTTGACCAATAACGTAGCAATGTTATAATTATATTATGCTGGTTAGCATGTTATATAACGTACACTAATTTAGCCAAAATAACTATTAGCTTTTCTTTCTGCTAATTGGTAGTTTTTTCAGCAAATCAAAAATTCAAATGCGATTTTTGGTAATGTACGAAATGTTAGATAAGTATATACTTGTCATCTTATAAATTCAATACTACGTATTTTGTTTATACATGGATGTACAAATCAATGTGTGATGTCTACTTATTAATGTATACTAATATTCTCATCTAAATTGAACTGTTTATAATTTATTAAGTAGTCTACCAGTTAAACAAAATGTTTTAATGAATGTATCTGTAAGAAGCAAACCGTTTTCTTTGTATATAAACTATTTGCATATTTTTCATGAAGCTTTATATGTTTGAAGTAATTTTAACCGTTTGATGCATGCTAAGTTCATCAAAACTATAAAATAAAATTATGATTCACGAATATAGATAAGATTAAATAATTTGTGGTCCATAGAAGCCTCAAACAAATTTTTAATTATAAATGTAAATTTGTACTATTTTAATCATAATAAACTAAATGTATACTAAATAACTCAACTCCGTTTTTGAATAATTTTTGTTAAATAAACTTACGTTATAAGTAATAGCATTCACTTACTTTTTATAACATAAATAAAAAATAAAAAATTATTTTTTAACTAAATAACATAGATTGATCTACTGCAATCACTTTTCTACAAGGAAATATCGCAAGATGGTAGCCCTGCTGCGTTTCACGTACATAGGTACGCTTATATATATGAGTCGCCTACACATGAAATAAATACATTGAGCAATTCCACGTAAATAAAGACGAAAAATTTTTATTCATACTTCGGGAATAGGTAGTATTCCATGTGACAATATAAGTCGAATTTTTTTCATCATAGAATTTTTTAATCATCACTGTTGTCAATAATGGTCTTTTGATGATGGTCAATGATCAATTTTTTCTTATACTATCAATTTGTAAATTTTAGGGGGAAATTATGCTGATAAAAAAAAGAATACATGTTTTCTTTAGCATTTTTTCCGTAGAAAATTTTTTTTTCTTCTTCAGATAGCTTCACACCCTTCTTTTCAATTGTGGTATACAAAATTAAATTGTTACAGCATGATATTTTTTTCTGCTTATCATCATCATCATCATCACCATCGTCATCACCATCACCATCATCATCATCATTATCATCATCGTCATCATCACCATCACCATCACTGTCACCGTCACCGTCACCGTCGCCATAACCGTCACCGTGATTGTCGCCGTCACCATTACTGTCATCGTTATCGTCATCATTAAAGTTTTACTTCAATTGGGATTTGAACTCTGGCAGTACGCACCCTCGTGGAGAATATGCGAAGCTGAGAGAGAAGGCTCTCATCCACTGCTTCATGCACAGACATGGTGATAGGTGTATGCAAATATTTGTTATAGAAAGGAAATATTAAATTATATCAAGTAATTTGATAAACATGCATTGTTCTGTTAGATGTTTACTTGTTTATAAGAAACTTTTGTAATTATTCTCATCCTAAGCAACGTATATGATGGAATTAAAATAGTCTTGTCTCTTGTAGGTTATACAATTAAAAACATGTATCTGAAACTTAAAGAAGTGTGTTTATTTGGAAAGTATCCTTATCAAGCGAGCAGCAATATTATCAACAGGAAGAGAGAATTCTTCATGCATATTAAATGTGGGAGATGATCAAACGGCAATGCATTGTTTAACATAATATTAGCATTACGTTTAAAAAAAAGTGAACTGAAAAATGCTTCTCATACTGTCACGGGAGGAATATCATGATTTGGGATAATTCTTGCTTTTGAAAATACTAGGAGCATACCCGCATACTTTTGCTCACACAATTTTTTTATACCTAAGGTTTAGACCCACGTTTTCTAAGCCAGAACTTTTTTATATTGCCCAAATACTACATATTCTATTTAAATATATTTTTAATTGCCCGAAAAAGTATGGGATGATAAATTTTGATTGTACATGTGTCTACTTTAGACAACTCTTAACACAGCAATAAATGAGAAATTTTCTGAGACGACACAGTCTCTCTCTTTTGAATATTTTTATTTTGTTAGAAATTTTTGTGTAACTATCTACAAAATATTAGCTTTATAATAAAAATTTAATAGATAAAAAAGCTAAGAGCTGTTATGTTTACTTTATGTGACAGCCGTCATAGCCTTCTCTCCTAGCTTACGAAAGTAGCCTGAGCGTGGCGCTGATGGCTGAGTTCAAATCCCAATAGGCGCGTTATGCGTGAGGGTAAATCAACAATTTCAGATTTTGACCTTAAGAATAAGTGTGACGCCCGCCCTCTATGACGTAGTTCCGATTTCCTCTACACCACATGAGAACATGACACCATATGACATCACCACTCCACACATTTTAAATTTTATAAACTCTATTTCTTTTTCTTTTAACCAATTTAAAAAAAAAAAGACTTGAACCCTGGACCTCCTACATACTAGTCGAGGCCCTTATCTATCTGTTATGATCGTGCCCGGCATGAGAAACTCGATTACTTCATTTTTCCGTACATTTCGTTTTTTATTTGCTGCATATTAATTTATTCGGTTTGATTATACATTAAATGAATAGATAATTTATTTGATGAAATATGTTTTTTAGGTACATGTTTCGAAAATTTCGAAATAAGTATTTGTTAGCAGAGCAGCTTACATGTTGAGTAATAATACACATTTATTTACTTATCATTAATTTGTTTCTTTTAAAATAAATGAATAATTGTTTACACAATTTTTCATATTTTTTCAAAATATTTCTAAATTAAAAAAAAAATTTTTTGTACTGTACGAATACAATAATTAATTTTTATTGTATTTTACTCTTATACAATTTTTTCATCCGTGATTAAAGTGATTTTTTGACTGAAGGACGTTCTTTACATTGTTTGTGGGGGAAAAGTTCAGAGGAGTGAGAGGAACACTAATGTGTACAGTAAAGCTACCAATCGTTTCCCTCATGTGGATGTACTCACTCACATGCTTTAACGCAAACTTCTTCCTCTTTTTCTAAATTTATGAAAAAACCAACTTGTGGGTCTGTTTAAAAATTCGATACGTTTATCTAAAAGTAACCTTTTGTACCCAAAAAATTGGGGGATTCCTACAAATTGTATAAATAACTTTATTTTTTCATAAGGTTACATGTTAAATATCGATTTTTTAGTGAAGCATTTTCACTCC